GTGGGGGTTCACAAAACCCTACCAAATCAGATACAAGAGATGGGGTAGGTGAGGTTTTTTTGACAATATTTTAATTACATGGAATCCAACCCATGTGTCTCATCCAGAGGGGTTTTGTGAACCCTTTTTCTATACATTTAGCAATGGTGAATAATAAAATCAATTAAATACTTTAACTTGAAATAAAATTATTAATCTTATAATATAACGTGACTTCGTGATAATAAAAATAGATTTTGCTACTTTTCCATTGGGGTTCACACCGTGCACAAGGGTATCATTTCCCTAGTGAAAAACATCTCTCTTTTTCCAGTTTTATGTCAGACTTTTTCAATATATTTATTCACGTACAATTGTACATTCCAATATGAATATTCTTTTGTGTATTAGAAATTTTATGGATAAAGATAAAGTAATTGAATTGCTTGACAAAGGGTTGATCGACCCTCACATTTTGCGCGTGAATTCTGCGTGAATTAAAAAATGCCCACCCCCTGTTTTCAATCATTCCCCATGTCATCTCTATGTTAGTGTAGTAAAACCCTTTTATATACATATGTAATATAAGCATGCTTCAAATACAACATTTTTTACATCATCTTTGAAAGCTCTCACACGTCACATTAGTGGGTCCCGTGATTAAAATAAATGTTGGGGCCCACTTGTGTGAGTGGGCTTTAATCGTGTGCAAACTGAGTGTACATCACTTAGCATTTTTCCAATAAAAATTAGGGTAATTGGCACAAAAGTTTTTTACCTTTCAAGTTTATTGTGGAAAATGTCCATACATTTAATTTTTTTGACATTTTTGCCTCTACTTTCCATATTTCTTTGCGCTAAACGTCATTTTCATCCATTTTTGACAATTTAACCTCCTATACAAATAAAATAAAAAGAAAATAAAAGAAAAAATAAAGAACTAATTGCAATAATGGTCCTAAATTTTTAAAATAGAAATAAGTTACAAATTTTCAAAAAATTACAAATTGCAACCACGCAGCCACTTTCACATTGGCTTCACCACCACTTGCGGTGCTTCTTGTCGTCGCGGAACACTTGGCTTCGACATACTCCGCCCACTAAAATTGTTTTACTATAGATAGAATCTCAATTCTTAATAGAGGGAAAAAGACAGAACTTACAACTCAATAAGACAGGGAATGAACAATTTGGTTGGTTGAAGAATGATAAAAAACTTATAACCCAATAAGGCAAGGACTCCCTAATATCATTTGCCACTCCAAGAATGGTCAACTGTTGCTGATTGAAGATGAAAACTGATTTCAGTGAAGGAGAGTATAAGCCGTGCTGCTATTTCTACCCAAATTGCAGCGTCTAAACCTATTCATGGTGGCCTGCTCCTCGCTTTCAATGACACCATTCTTTTGGGAAGATTGTTTGATAGAAATTCTTCTTGTTACTTAACTCAACACTGAAGTAAAGGGTTTGCACATGAAGATTCTCTGAAAAGGTATAAACAGAAAGAAGAGAGTGTGCCTATACTTTTCGAGGAGAATTTCCCAAATTTTCAAAAAAATTTATGACCATAATTGTAATTAGCTCACTATTTTTTTTCTTTTTCTTTTATTTGTATAGGAGGGTAAAATTGTCAAAAATAAATGAAAATGACGTTCAGCATGAAGAAAAGTGGAAGGTAGGGATGAAAATTCAAAAAATAAAAGATAGAAATGTTTTTTACAATAAACTTGAAATGTATGGACGTTTTGTGTCAATTAACCTAAAAATTAAGTTTTTTCGCTATCCATTTTTGTAAAAACGAGAATGAAAAATATAATCGTTACGGGATCCACACAACGATAAATATTTAAATATAGTGGTTTGATGTGATGAATAACGATTATATTTTTTATTTTTGTGATCAAATAATGAGAATGAAACGAGGTTTAATCTATGATGGGCAGACAGATGGGCTATAATAATTGTCGGTGGACTTTTTCTAAGGCACTGTTGCCGTATGCTGAAGGCTCACTCTTGTGTAGTCTATTTGTCTTGTAGCCTTTTTTGGAAGCCTTTTCTTGACTCACACATTCAATACGATCACAGATATTTTTTTTTTTTTTTTAAATCTTTTTGGGTCATTTACGAAATCAACGAACAACCTCAATCTGTGCCTCTGGCATCCTACCATACCATAAGAAGCTTGAAGGTAAATCTTATTCTCGGTCTTCAGGAAAGTTGTAACAAATAGGTACTTATTTTTTATTTTATTTTTGTAACTGGAGAAGCTCGAGGGTAAAATCATGGTTTTTATTTTTATTTATTTTGTGTGTGATTACTATGGGTTGGGAATTATTTGTGTATATCTTGCTTCTGTGACTGAATTGTGTTATATTGAGAGGTTTAGGAAGGAAAAATGACTGAACTTCGTGTTCTCTGACTGGTAGATGATTTGGATTTCTTTTTCTTGGATTTGAATTTTTTTCACCTCAATCATGGCAGAAATTTGAGCTGAGAACTGGGTTGTGGGCCTTGCAGCCTTTACTGGAATTCTAGGAGGTTGATTATATTTCAGAGAGAGAGAGAGAGAGAGAGAGAGAGAGAGAGAGAGAGACTGTTTATATCAAAATAATTGTTGATTTTATTCCGGGAAGCTTGTTAAAACATTTCTGTTTATTTCTTTTTCCCGGAGATTTATTTCCCACTTTTCTTGTTATACTTTGAAGCTTGTATGTCTGTCTCAATATTTCATTTTCTTTGAATAATGGAATTGGGTTGTTTAAGATTTTATTGTTTTTACTGTATTTATGCTTTAGATTATCTTCCACTCAAAAAGATGCACAAAACAAAGTAGCAAAACTCGTTCCTGCTTGGCCCACACAAATAAACGGGGAACAAGGCTTAGCCTCTTGTTATTGTAAAGGTTTATGTTTTAGGTTAAGAAGAGATTAAGCAAATAAAAGGAATGATTTATGTTTAGGTTGGTTTGAATCTTTAGTTCCACAAAACTATATTCGCTAGATATATTACCCATGATGCTCCCTTTAAACATGGACCTTGTTGGTTTGATTAAATTCTTCTTGTACATAATAGGTGGTTTTGCCAGTATATGTTGAGTAAAGAGTTAAGTTGCTATTTCGAAAATTAATCTCTCTTGCGTTTGATTTACTGTCTTTAGTGTTTCTTTTCTTGAAGGTCAAGACAATCTAAGTGAATGATTTGTAGCTATCCATGATGTGAGCGTTGGCTATTTTTACTTTACAAGAATATAAAGTTTTACTTCCGTTCGTGGATTTGCAGTGAAGGGTATTGAATAGTGGTTAGAACTATGGGGTGTTTCCAATTCTATAATGGAGAGAAAAAGGAAGAACCAAAGACTACAAAATCAAATTCTGCCCAATCCTCATTTACTGATCGAGAGATGAGGCATTCTGGATCCGATTTTAATTCCCAGGATGTATCAAACACTAGCTCTGAATCCAGAGGAAGAAGCCAATTTCCAATTTTGTCCGACAGGTCCAGTAATCTCAGGGCTTTTACTTTTTCCGAGATGAAACAAGCAACAAAAAATTTCAACAGGTCTACCAAGCTTGGAGAGGGTGGATTTGGATGCGTTTTTAAGGGTGTGGTCAACATTTCTGAAGATCCAGATATCAAACTTGATGTGGCAATAAAACAACTAGGTCGAAGAGGACTGCAGGTAGATTTCCTTTTATATATACCTTGTTCTCTAGGTTCTTCCTTTTTTTTTTCTTTTTTTTTTCCCTCTTTAGTTTTGGTATTCTCTTGTTCTAGTTTCATTATAAAAGATAGGGAGTAATGATGGTATCTCTATAATGCTGTGTAATAATATCTATCCAACTGAGAAGTCTTTTCATTTAAGTCTGTTGATTGACAGTGTTAAGCTATTTTAATAGAGAGTCAGACCTCTGTATTTTGTAAATTAAGATTAAGATTACTAATGTAACTGTGGTGTAGTCTGATTTAATTAAAAGATATCGACATGGATTTATTTAGAATTATATTGCTCCTCTCAAAAGATGAAGACAATTTAACTATACGTTAGAGAAGCTGTATACTTATGATATCTTCTAGTTCTCCTCTCTCCATATTTGTATGTGTGCGCATGCCCCCATGCTTGTGCATATGCCTGTACGGTCTGGTAGAGCAAAATGAAATGAAGTGTTATTTAATGGAGGTCTGAAGGAGCTCCTTTCTCTTATATCAATGAACTCATTTAAATAAGACGTGTCACAAGATTTTTCCTCCATCTATCCTGATTTTTTATAATGGTAAAGGCATGAAGTCAATCTAAAGTTAAGGAAAGGGAATTTTATGCCTTCTTGCCTTAACCTGATTTATTGGGGTGGGAGGGTGGGTAAGGGGTGTTCCACTCGGATGCTCAGACTCTTAGAAATAATAGGAGCGCTCGTGTCGGACATGATATGGGTATGGGTATGGGTATGGGTATGGGTATAAGATATGTGTTGGATCCTCCAAGTTTTAACTGGAAACTTCGGCCCTTTTGCTTCTTCTTTTATTTTTTTCCCCCTTTTTGCTATCTAATCTATAAACCTCGCGCCACCTTTAAGAGGGTGGAAAAGGGCGATAGCGCTAGGTTTTCCCTTCTTCTTTCTTTTTTCTTATTTTATTTTCTTCTTTTTTTCCTTCTTTCCCTATCTGTATCGGTAGTTTAGAGTTTTGTTTGTCTAAATGAAAGTGGGTTCCATATAGTGCTACCTAGTGCTTTACTAAATCCAAATTGCAATCAAGTCTCTCATTTTCTATTTTATATAATAGTTAGAGCCCGTTTGATTATCATTTTTCTAAGAATGAGAATGAAAAATATAGCCGTTATAGGACCCACACAAGAGATAGAAAGTCAAATATGGTGGCTTGATGTGATGAATAACGGTCATATTTTTTATTTTTGTGGTCAAAGAATGGGAATTAAATGGGGGCTTAGTAAATAATTTTCCATAATTGAAAACTAAACTCCAAAATTCTATTTTATTCGTCTTAATCCCTTATTCAGTACTCATTTCATTCTTTTGAACAATCGATTTTGGTTCATTCAAAATGACATCTTAGGTTAGTAAAAAAATTGAAGCTTGAAAGGCGTACCCATGTACTTGTGTTCGAAATTTGGACTCTTTTTACTCATGTCCTTGTATCCTATATTTTAAAAAATAAAAGATTCGATATTTAGATATGCACCCGTACCCGATACCTGAGTCCTATTGTTATATCTGCACATCGCGTTTCTGATGTTCAATCGAAAAAGAGAAAATTCGAAAAGAAACTATCATTATTTTATTGCATGTTTGAAATTTTGAATTAAAAAATACACAAATAAATAACATACCCTCCAATGTCTATGTCGTAAACACTTTTGCACAAAAAGCTGGAATTTTGAAATTAAGCTTATTTTGTTGGATTAAATGAAACAATTATATAGCTGCCTAAGTGGTTGATATTCAGAATAACTGAGGTTTGAATATGAAGAAGTAAATGATGACAAAAATGGTGGCATTGCTCGACTGTGAAGTCTTTTCGGGTGGAAAGAGGGAGAGCCACACCAAGAAATTGATGATTCTGCCAAAATTGATGGTTTCTGTTGGCATTCTTAAATTACTTTTTTCACAACAAAACTGGCCATGCAAAAATCTTATATAACTATAAATCACGAAGAGTTTAAGAAAACTGCATTCATGCACTAGTTTTTTTCTAGTTTGTGACTAATTGGAGTATATTAGAATTCTTTTAGTTGATTTGACTACATTGGAGAATGACTACTTGCAATTGGATGTTGGAACATGTCTTGCTTCTTGCTTCTTTGATAGAGAACTAATATCTGATCTACGTGTAGGGTCATAAAGAATGGGTGACAGAAGTAAATGTCCTTGGTGTGGTTGAACATCCAAATCTTGTGAAACTCATTGGATACTGTGCTGAGGACGACGAAAGAGGAATCCAACGGCTTTTGGTATATGAATTCATGCCTAATGGAAGCGTGGAAGATCATTTATCGGCTAGGTCAGAGACACCGCTTCCTTGGGCTATGAGGCTGAAGATAGCCCAAGATGCTGCTCGTGGCTTAGTAAACCTGCATGAGGAAATGGATTTTCAGGTCTTTAATTCTACCTATTGAATGTTTATTGACTTCTCTTGCCTCTTAGTGCCATAAAAGAGGCATAATCACTTTTCCTTCTTGGGATAATCATATTCATTTAGGAAGAATTAGAAGAATAATCACTTTTTCAGTTCATTTATTTCTCCTATTGAACGTTGATTGATTTCTTTTGCCACTTGTTTGCAATATAGGAAGCATAGTCACCTTTTTTTCTGGGGTAACCATATTGGAAATATTGTGGAACATGATCTTTATGTTTAAAGTGTGATTTGCAATGCTGCTATAATGATTTAGTCTGACATTTATCTTCTGTATACAGATCATCTTCAGAGATTTCAAATCTTCTAATATTCTCCTAGATGAGCAATGGAATGCTAAACTATCAGACTTCGGATTGGCTCGGTTGGGCCCTCCAGAAGGACTAACACATGTATCAACAGCGGTACGGTGAATTACATGATGGCATATTGTCTCTCTTTTATGTGCTATCGGGGAAAATTCTTTTCTTCTAGATTTACATCTCCCAACCTTTTAGATTGGGTTTAAAACTGTGGAACTAAGAATTCTTGTCACTGAACTATGAACAACTTCTCTGTTTCTAATGAGTATTTAATTTTTTTTAAAAAAATGTTATATTTAAAAGGCACACATTTTCGTTATGGTATATTGTTTACATCATAAAACTAAAGAGTATTTCAATTATTCTCTTATGAAATTGAAGAACTGGGTTTTGAATGAATGCAACTAAGTTATGAATAGGGAGGGATTCTAAGTTCACTTCAAATATTTTTTAAATAATGCTTGATTCAGCTAACGATTTGAAATACCATGACGACTTGGAAATCATCCATCTCTGGACCTAGGTAGATTTGCATGCACTTTTAGGGAGTTGATCTTTAGTCATGTCTAATCTAGTAGAAGCATGGAATTTAGCTTTGATATTGTAATGTCTAAGAGTTACAATTCAGTATACTGGCATTGAACCCCTTGTTATTGTAAACCTTCTCCATTGTAATTTGGCTCCATTATAACTTAAAGCATGTTTGAGAAGTGTTTTTAAACGGTTTAAATTATAAATAAATAGAAATGAATGGTGAATGAGTGGGTAGTACTTGTGGATTTCTCCAAATGTGTGGATAAAAAGTTGATTCAGTGCTTATGAAAAGCATATAAACATAAGCCAAATACAGTCTCATAATTATGGTTTGTCCATTCTTCGGTTAAAATGTGAATCACGAACAATTTTGCCATCACGTATAATATGTTGCACTGTTGCTTGGGTATAAGGCTTCATGCATGATCTAGACATGTACATTTCGTTAAATTGAGAGCATAATTCCCAAACACTGTTGCTTGGGTATAAGGCTTCATGCATGATCTAGACATGTACATTTCGTTAAATTGAGAGCATAATTCCCAAACATCCTATAAATATAAATAGATTCCCATCAAATGACATCTTCAAAAACTGCATTTATTCGTTGCTTCATTAGGCTTTCCACTTGCCTTATGCGATGACTTGAAATTTTTTTATTATCTAATTAGTTTTTAGATACTTCTTTAGTCTTGAATTAATAAACACCTCGTTATTAGGTTGTGGGAACCCTGGGGTATGCAGCTCCTGAGTACATTCAAACTGGTCGTCTAACGTCCAAGAGTGATGTATGGAGCTATGGAGTCTTTCTCTACGAACTAATTACAGGTAGAAGACCATTGGATCGAAATCGTCCCAGAAGTGAGCAGAAGCTCTTGGAATGGGTAAGACCGCACTTATCCGATGCTAAGAAGTTTCAGTTGATATTGGATCGGAAGCTTGAAGGGAAGCATGTGCCTAAATCCGCGCACAGGCTCTCACTTGTAGCCAATCGTTGCTTAGCCAGACTCCCGAAATCACGCCCAAAAATGAGCGAGGTTTTGGAAATGGTGAATCAAGTTGTGGAGGCATCAACAGGGACAGGCAATCCTCAACCACCCCTAAGGAGTCCCATGTCAACGGCAACTTTTGAGGAAACCGAAGCTGCTAAAGACAAAAGGAGATTCATGGACGTGAAAATTGGAGACGCTGGTTGGTTGGTTCGTATGTGGTCAACAAAGCTCGTAAAGACCTGCTGATTTTCGTTGTTTTTTTGGATATATGCAGGAATGATAGCTAGAATAGAGATTGTAATGAATGTCACAGGGACACAAATCTGGATTGTTAGAAATGACAACCGTGTTTATGTGAATTTAGATTTTAATGAAATTTTCGTTTGGTATCATGTAATGGATAAGATTTTTAATTATTTATTTATATTTTTTTAAAGAGATCATTCAACCATGTAGAAAAAAGTAAGAATTTTTAGCTGAAAATTTGGTCATTATTTTGCATACATCAACTTCAGAAAACTACTCTGTCCGTCCAAGTTTCGTGTATTCTTGCTCTAAGTCGTAGTTCAATATTGAATTTCCAATGAAACAATTCACACCACCACCACTATGGGCGGCCACGCCAGCCCTATGTGTATTTTGGAAAGTATTTGCTGTGATTGGTTGAGGGAGAAAGGAAAAGAATAATCGTTTGGCCTCGGGATATAAAGTCAAATTTTGCATCTTTTTTCTTCAGTCACCATTTCCTTTATTTTTTGATT